GGGGGGGCGGGCCTCGGAGCGGCGCGACGGGCGGGGGAGGAGGCCGAGAGGGACCCGGGCGGAGCGGGGACGCGGGACCAGGCCCGAGGAAGGATGGAGACACGCGGGGCCCGCAGGACAGCCACGGAGCGGAGCAGACTGGCCTGGGGAGATGGACACACAGAGCAGGAGACGGGCTCGGCCAAGAGAGCCCAGTGGGCAGAGACCCAGGCAGAGGTGGGCCCAGAAGGAGGGAAGGAGCCGCAGAGGAAAAGAGAGGCAGACAGAGAGGGGGAGACTGAGAGGGGGTAGAGAGAGAGAGACAGAGACAGAGAGAGAGGGGAGGGGGAGGGGAGAGAGACAGAGGAAGAGACAGGGAGAGACAGAGAGAGAGAGAGACAGGAGAGACACAGAGAGAGGGAGAAAAACAGAGACAGAGAGAGGGAGAGACAGAGACTGAGAGAGACAGACAGGGAGAGAGACAGAGAGAGAGGGGAGAGGGAGGGGAGAGAGACAGACAGAGAGACAGAGGAAGAGACAGGGAGAGACAGAGACGGAGAGAGACAGACAGAGGGAGAGAGACAGAGAGAGGGAGAGACAGGGGAGAGAGGGAGAGACAGAGACAGAAAGAGAGGGAGGGAGAGACGGGGGGGAGAGAGAGAGAGGGATGGAGAGACAGACACAGAGAGGGAGAAACAGAGAGAGACAGATGGAGAGAGAGATGTGAGAACAAACAGACCCAGAGATAGGTGAGACCTAGAAAAAAGAAAGCAGGGGAGACAGGATCAGAGACAGAGAGAGACAGAGACGGGAGAGATAGAGAAGACAGAAAGGGGAGAAGAAAAAGACAAAGCAGGCCAGGGAGATGGGGACAGGAGAGACGGAGAAGCCGGGTACACAGAGGGGCACACTGGTACCCTACTGAACGTTTCAATTAATTAGCCAACGGAGGAAGCCTCATCAAAGTGGGGCAAGTGTGGAACAGATTTCCGAGTGATTACAGAATCCAGACTTACTGGACCTGTTAAGATTGGAAGGACCTCTGAAACCAGCGCTCAGAAAATCTTCGTACCATGAGCCCAAAGCATCCTGATGTCATCTCTAAACACTGTTTAACTAAACTCGACCAGAATGGTCATCTTGAGCCCTGGGCCCTTAAAGCATCTTCTGTGAGATCAACCTGCCAACAGTAACGCTACAGCCCAGGTGGGACGTTCACGGGGGAGTTCATGGAAATCGGTAGTGGTGAAAGCCACGGGCACAGACTGCGAGGATGGTGACAACACGCGGAATGGAACCAACGTCACTGAACCGTCCACGGAGAAACTGGTGCATGGGTGTCTGCCCTGCTGTGCATGTTTTCAACAAAATAAAAAAATAAAATAAAGAGGTGCTGCCACGGGGGTTCTGCAAAAGGACCAGGGTAGATACGAACAGATGGAAGGATGGGGAGAAGGGGGCAGGAAAAGAGTGAGAAAATTCAAGCAGAGACAGAGAGGGCAACGGGATTTGGGAAATGGCTGAGCCAGGATTCATCTTGTTTCCCCAGACCCTCCAAGTCCCCCACCTGGGTCTCCATGGGCATGGTTCCCCCACCACCATCAGGGCCACAGCGCCACCCACTACCCAGGCACTACCCTTGGAGATCATCTCGATTTCCGTACCTCCATTCAAAGTTCTCAGTGCCCCCAAGAAACTTCCGGGATCCTCTGAGGGCCTCCGGTATTGTGCAGATTCTTATATATTCCTAGTCTTCCTTCCGCAGAGTGGCTGGTGGGTTTGAACCACCAACCTTCTGGTTAGCAGTCAGATGCCATAGGCACTGCAGCACCAGAGCTCCTACATGTCCCCTGGATCCACCAAGGTTCTGGGGGGTGCAAATGGTTTTCTCTTGGCTACTTATGAAAACGTTGACGGTTTGAACCTACTCAGCGGGGCCATGAAAGAAAAGAGGGGCCGTCTGCTGCCCTAAAGGTGACAGCCAAGGGAACGCTAGGGAACGAAGATGTACTTTGTAACACATGGGGGCGCCGTGAGTCAGAACTGACCGGACTGGAGTGGGTCTCCTTAAGCTGCCCCTTAGGGCCCCCCCACGGAGTCTGTGCGTCCCCGCAGGCCAGCTGCACACCTGTGCCCGGCCACGGACAGCCCAAGCCGCTGTCTGACTAGTGAGTCACCCTCCGTGTCTCCATGTGAGGGACCCAGAGGTATTGGGCAGAGGCTCTGGGTGGTTCAACCGGGTGATGTGCTTGGGCGGACACTAACCAGAGGTTGCACGTTCGAGTTCAGCAGAGGTGCTCCGGAAGACTTGGTGATGTCCTGAAAAATCACCCACCAAGAACCCTGTGAAGACAGACGGGGTCACCCTGAGGTGAATCGCCTTCACAGCAACGGATTGTTTCAACGCCTGTGCCAACTGGTATTTGAAAAAACAAAACAAAACAGTACTTGCCCGTCCCGGGCTTTACAACAAAACAAAACAAAGAACAGTTGCCACGTGGCATATGCCCGTGTACACACACACACACACACACACACACACGGTACAGAGGTGTGGTAGGTAGGGCCCCCAAGATGCCCACATCTTAATCCCCAGAACCTGTGAATGTTACCTTACAAGGCAAAAGGGAGTTGACAGACGTCATCAAGGAGTTTGAAATCAGAAGATTATCCAGGTGGCCCAAAGTAACCACCAAACCCAAAGCAAACCCGCTGCCGACAAGTTGATTCAGACTTATAGCGACTCCATGTCGGACACAGCAGAAAGGCCCCACAGGGTTGCCAGGGGTGCGTATCTTTACAGAAGTAGACTGCCTTATCTTTCTCCTGCGGAGCAGCTGGTGAGTTCGAACCCTCCACCTTTTGTCAGCAGCCAGTGCTTTAACCACTATGCTATCCAAGCTCCTTCTTGGAAACCCTGTGAGGCAGTTCTATTCTGTCCTCTAGGGGCGCTGTGAGTCCGAATCAACTGGATTTCACTCAACAAGCTTGTGTTCATTTCTTCCAGCACCTGGGAACCAAATATGGACGGGGTACTCTTCCTCCACCCAGGCACCCGCCCGACAAGAATTTTCCATGGGGCCCCTCCACCTGCCTGCACACCCATCCCTGGCACATGGCACCCTAACGCCAGTACATTTGTGAGGTCAGACCCACCGTTGTTGAGCTCAGCCTTTGGCTAAAGGACCCAGCCTTCCTTTCCAGAACCAGAACTGGACTTCTCTGCTCAGCCCTGAGCAGACCCCTCCACAGTCCAGGGCCCCCAGCACAGACCTGAGTCCAAAGTTTGCTGCATAGAAACCCATTACTCACTGCGTTCAAGTCAGATCCTACTCATAGCGACCCCTCCCTGGGTTTCTGAGGCACTATCACTACTGGTAGCACAATGGCTAAGGCATTTGACTGCTAACCAGAAGGCTGGCGGTTCAAACCCACCAGCCACTCCTCGGAAGGAAGATGGGGCAATCTACTTCCGTAGTGATTTCACCTCAGAAACCCAATGAGGGGTCGCTATGAATCGGTCCGACTCGAGGGCACATAACAACAACAACAACATGACTACTGAAGTAGATTGCCCAACCTTCCTTCCAAGGACTGGCTGGTGGGTTTGAACCACCAGCCTTCTGAGGCACTACGACACCAGAACTCTGCTGCACAGAGGACCCCCCAAATGCCGGACCCAGGAAAGAATTCATGGGGGGAGAGGCTGGGTGACAAGTAGTACAGAAAGGCTGGGTGACAAGTAGTCCAGAAAGGGTGGAAAGGCAACTCCATCTGACAAATGGGGAAACTGAGGCCCAAAGAGGCAACGGCATGGGCCTAAGGCTGCAAGGGTTAGGTGTTGGGTGTGGCGCGCCAGGGGAGGATGTGAGGCCCCAGGGTACCGTGAGAAACGGGGTGCAAGGACCAGGCAGACAAATAAAACGACTTGGGAGGGGAGGCCCAAGGGTGGGGCCTAGAAAAGGTGGTTAACGGAGAGCGGCCACCGCCCCAAGCAGGAGGCGGGGCTAGGGAAGAGGCGGGGCCTATCGAAGAGAGCCCGAAAGGCCTAGAACAGGGGCGGAGCCTGAAATGGCAGCTGGGTCAGACAGTGATGAAGAGGCAGCGTTTAGAACTGTGGCGGGTGACATGGGTGTGGGCGGGGCTTACGGCAGCGCAGCAATGAGGCTTGCAAATAGGATGAGGAGGCGGTGAACGATAAGGGGCGGTGCTTAGAACAGGGCTTGACCTATTTTTTCAATGGGCGTGGCTTATGACTGGGGCGGGGCCAAGAGCGGTGACGGGACCTGGGCGGGCGGGGCTGGGGCCGAGTGCATATCCGGTCAGGTGGGAAGGGCTTAGAGCCTACGGGCCCAAAGGTAGGTGGGGGCGCCGGGCACTTCCGTGTGATACCGTGCGTATTTCCGGCCAAGATGGCGGCGCCCAGCAGAGTCAGGTGCGGGCCACTCGGTCTTTAGCCGCGGCGGCGACTTGAGGCGCTGGGAGGTGAGGTCTACCCCGCTTCAGCCCCCCAATTTGGAGATGGAGGAGGAGACTTGTTGCTAAGGAGACCAAAGAGCGGGCTTGATGCTATAGAGGCAGGGCAGTGGGGTTGCTAAGAGCTGGGAATGAAAGCGGTGGAGATAGGGCAAGGGGCTTGTTGCTAGGGAGATGGGAGGGGCTTATGGCTTTGGGCAGGGGTTTTGTTGGTATGAAGGAAGAAAAAGGGGCTATGTTCAATTGGGGTGTGGACAGAGTGGATAGGGGTCATGGGGGGCCACGGAGCACCCCCAAAACGCCACCTCCTCAGCAGACCCCCAGGAGTCGACCGGTCAGGACGCCCGAGCTGCCTCAGCGGTGACACCCCTCCCCAACACTTCGTGCCCTACCTCTTCACCTGCAGCCCATGGCGAATCAAGGCTCGGGGGGCGGCCGCCTCCCCCTGGCGCTGCCCCCCGCTTCCCAGAGTTGCTCCACGGGGGCCGGCGGCTCTTCGGCCGGGGGCTCGGGCAACAATCCTCTGCCCCCACGCAGCCTCCAAGGTCTGCTGCAGATGGCCATCACGGCGGGCTCCGAGGAGCCGGACCCCCCTCCGGAACCTATGAGCGAGGAGGTAAAGGATGGCCCCAGCGAGCTGGGGGGAGGGGGCTGGGTAGGGGTGTCTTGGAAAGTAGGGTTTGCGGGAGCCAGCAGGCGAGCTCTTCCAGGGTGACCGGCAGTGGGCCAGGTGTGAAGGCGTGGCAGGCTGTAGGTGTGTTAACTGAGGGGTTTGCAGGCTGAAGGTCGGGTCTCTTCGTAGTCAGGGGCTGGGGGACAGGCCCCAGGACTCGCGGCTGGGTTTTGGCCGGGGCACACTAGCCTGGGGGTTCAATGCAAGCTCTCTGGAGCCGGGACAGAGGTGGATTCCAGTTACCCAGCTGTGTGACCTCGGGTGCTTCATTGAGCCTTAAGTTCCTTGTTTTGCAGGAACAGTAACAGTAACAGTACTTCCTCAGGGTTTCCTAAGGTTGCAGGTTAACGAGGGGCCACGCTGTCTGTTGGCTAGGCTGGGACCCTGAAGAGAGCCGCGTGCGGTCATGAAGGGCACCCGCGGCTTGGCTTCCACTTTGGGCTCTGCCCGTTGCTGGCTGTGTGACCCTGGGGAAGTCACAGCCCCTCTGTGCCTCAGTTGATCTCCCACTCATTTAGACCCTGTGTAATAGGGGAGATCCAGTCTATAGTGTGTTGCAGGGAATAATCTTTACAGGAGCGGGCCCCCAGGTCTTTCTTGTGTGAACCGCTTTGAGGCGCAGGGGTTTGAACTGCTCACTTTTGTGCTTAGCTCGGTGCTTAACCATGGCGCCACCAGAGCTGCCCCTGAAACTTGATAGCAACGTTTATTATAGTATTTCACGAACTACGTACTGAACGCTGCGTAAAACCATTTAAATATTAAAAAGAAATCCAAACCTACTGCCTTCAGGTCAGTTCCAACTCACGGTGACCCTGTGTGACGGAACCGCCCCATAGGGTTTCCTAGTCTGTAATCTTTATAGGAGCAAATTGCCAGGTCTGTGCCCCCACGGAGCTGCGGGGTGGGTTCAAACCGCTGACCTTTGGGTCCTCAGCTGACTGCTTACCGCTGAGCCACCAGGGCTCTTGAGTCGGAAGGGGCTGTGGCCCAAGACAACGGCCGTCACCGTGTTGCGCACGACACATTTTGCTTATTTTGTTTGTCGTCTGCTCCTTCACCGGAGAGGGCGCCCCGAGGTGCTGCCTCCCACAGGTCTCAGGGCTGCGTCCCTGGAGTCTAGAAGGACCTGGCCAGTCCTGGACCCTCAGGAGGTGTCTGTTGATGAAGGAACTGTCGGCTCTCAGGTGTTAGCGCTGATGACTGACTGTCATCCATTCATTCATTCATTCACTCACTCCCGGTCCTTCCCCCCCCACCCGGGCCCTCAGAGGCGGCAGTGGCTGCAGGAAGCCATGTCGGCTGCCTTCCGGGGCCAGCGGGAGGAGGTGGAGCAGATGAAGGGCTGCCTACGGGTGCTGTCCCAGCCCACACCCCCTGCGGCCGGCGAGGCCGATCTGGTGACCGACCAGCAAGAGCGCGAGGGCGCCTTGGAGCTGCTGGCCGACCTGTGTGAGAACATGGACAACGCTGCTGGTAAGGCCCTGCCCCTTCCTGCCTCGGCCGGGCCCTGCTGCAGCTCGGCCCTGCCCACCGCGGGCCGCCTTCCTGGCCTCCCAGCCTGCAGCCCCGAGCCAGCGTGGCTCCGAACCCCCTGCCCCTCCGCGCTGTGTCCCCGTAGCCGGCACGAGTGACCTCCTTGAGCGCTGGGCTCTTTTAAGAACTACTTGTATGGGATCGGACTGATGACAGCAACTGGCGGGTTTAGGTGGGGCCTTCGGGGCAGGGAGTTTATGTCAACGGGAGAGGCAAACTCAGAAAAGGGGGACTCCGGTGCCATGAGTCGAATAACATCATCAGTGTCACTGAATTGGACACGGAGGAACTGCGAATCGGGGTACACCTTGCTGTGGCTGTTCCCCAACAACAACAACAACAACAACGTTCCAGCCGAGGGAGCAGCCAGCACAAAGGCCCTGTGGCAGGAGCAGCACTGGGCGGGCGGCAGGGTGGAGGCGGTGAGGGGCGGGGCTGGGGCTGGGGCTGGCGGCAGGGTGGAGGCGGTGAGGGGCGGGGCTGGGACGGGCTGGGCCTCGTGGGTGAGGCCAGGCTCTGGTCTGCATTCTGAGTGGGGGGAGCCCACGGAGAAGGTTAGCTCCGAGTGCTGAGACCCCCTTCCAAGGTGCTTTGGAGGAAGGGCCTGGCCGTGTGCTTCCAAGACGCCAGCCCTCAGCCGACCCTGGAGTGGGGTTCTGCTCTGACTCCCGTGGGGTCGCCGCCGTGTGTGGGACTGACGTGCTGGCGCTGGGCCTGCTGTGGGAGTGACAGCAGCAGCTCAGGGCCTTGTGCTGGGGGGTGGGGGTGGGACCTCTCTCCTCACTGACTTGGCCAAGCTTGCGTGAGACGCTTGGGAGCAGGGACCACTGCCCAAGCGTGCCACAGGTACTCGACCGGTGTCCCTGTCCTTGTCACCCCTTGCCCATCTGCCTTCACCATTGCCTGAGTGTGCTACAGGTGTTGGACCCATGTTCTTGTCCTTCCCGCCCCCCCCTTCCCTGTCCACCCTCCATAGCCCCGTCCCCTCGCTCTGTGTAGATGGGGCCTTGGCTCCCGTGTCACACCGCCGAGACGGATGGTCCGTAGACGCACACGTGTGCCTGGGTCAGCTCGGGGCTGTGCACGGTGCGCCGGGACAGAGGTGTTGGTGGGCGCGTGGTTGGCAGGTGTGTGAACGTGTGCATGTCTGCGCGTAGAGGACACAGCTGCTCACGCCACTCCGATGTCAGGACCCACCTGGAGGGCCTGGTTTGCTGAGTGCGAGAGCAGCGCGGAGCTCTGGTGGTGCAGTGGTTAAAGTGCTTGGCTGCCAACCCCCACGGTGGATGTCCCATCTTTCTCCTGCAGACAGGGCTGGTGGGTTCAAACGGCTGACCTTGTCAGTCGCAGCTTTAACCACGGTGCCACCTAAATAAAGAGAGCTCTGGTAGCATAGTGGCTAAGACACTTGCCTGCTAACCAGACGGCTGGCGGTTCAAACCCACCAGCCACTCCTCGGAAGGAAGGTTGTGCAATCCTACTTCCGTAGTGATACTGCCTGGGAAACCCAAGGAGGGGTCGCTATGAGTCGGGGCCGACTCGACGGCACGTAACAAAAACAACAACAACAACAACAACAACAGTCATGGAAAGCCCCTGGGGCAGTTCTCTGTCACAGGGATGGGGTGGGGGGCTGGCCGGGGATGGGGCCGGTGGCCGGGAGTCGGACTCTCCTCGACGGCTGTGGGTTCGGTTTCATTTCCTCATTGTGGACGTTGAGAGGGTGGGGCGTGCACGGCACTCGGGACAGCACTGTGACCTCAGGCAGCTCCCCCGTGACCTCCCGCACACCGGGGAGCCATCGGTGGGTGGGGACAGCTGACTCAGGCTCCACGCGAGCCGTGGAAGCAGCAGTGCCCTGTTCCGGACTGCGGTTGCCGTCAGCGTGGGAAACCACAAAACCCGCTGCTGCCAAGTGACTGCAATTCCCGGCGCCCCCCGTGGGTCAGACCGGAGCCGTGCTCTGTCGTGTGCTCAGTGGCTGACTGCCAGCCTGCCTTCCCAGGCGCCTCTGGCTGCACTCAGCCCCGCAAGGTTTTGGTCGGCAGGCTGGCAGTGAAGACATTCCCCCCCTGCCCGCACCCCCGTGTTTGAGCCGCACCGGCCTCGGTGGGCCGCCTGGCTGGGTGCTTCTGCGCCGGCCGCCAGGCCCTGCCCTCCAGCCTCACCTTGGCTCCTCTCTGCCCCCTCCCTGCCCCGCAGATTTCTGCCAGCTGTCGGGCATGCACCTGCTGGTGGGCCGGTACCTGGCGGCGGGCGCCGCGGGGCTGCGGTGGCGGGCGGCACAGCTCATCGGCACGTGCAGCCAGAACGTGGCGGCCATCCAGGAGCAGGTGCTGGGGCTCGGGGCGCTACGCAAGCTGCTGAGGCTGCTCGACCGGGACCCCTGCGACGCGGTGCGCGTCAAGGCCCTCTTCGCCATCTCCTGTGAGTCCCGGGCGTGCCGCTGGTTCTCACGCACAGTGACCCCAGCTCACAGAACTGCCCCACGGGTCTCCAAAGCTGCCATCTTTACAGGAGCAGTTCACCAAGTCTTCCTCCCAGGGAGGGGACGGTGTGTCTGACCCGTTGACCCTTCAGTTACAGCCAAGCGTTGAACTCCTGTGCTATCAGGGCTTCTTGGGGGTCAGGGAGGGTCCCCGACGACTTGTCAGGATTCCATGTGGGGGGCTGGGAACGGAGCAGGGGGCACTCCGGTGTCCAGGAGTTAGCAGCATCAGGGAAAGCCCTCGTGGTACAGTGGATATGCACTGAGCTGCTAACTGAAGGGTGGGCGGTTTGAACCCGCCCGGCAGCTCTATGGGAGAAGGCCCTTGCTACCTGCTCCCGTAAACGTCACAGCCCTGGAAACCCTCCGAGGCTGTTCGTAGGGGCACGTGTCACTGGGTCAGAGTCAACACAGTGGCATCCGACAACATCAGTGACCCTGGAGTCTAACGCACAGTTAAACACTCAGCTGCTCGCTGCAAGGTTGGCAGTTCTGAGTCCACCCACAGGCATCTCGGAAGAAAGGCCTGGTGATCTTCTGAAAAGCCAGCCATCGAAAGACAGCCCCATGAAGCACGGTTCTTTCCTGATGCACGCGGGGTCCCGGGGGTCAAGTCACCTCCACAGCAACTCGCTCTCTTACTGGTCTGAGTGCGGCAAGTGGGGAGTGAGGGGTTCTTTGTACGTTGACAACAAAGCCCTGACGTCGAGTGTGGGGGAGGTGCTCAACTCTGTCAGTTACACCCAGAGCCACAGAGTGGCCATGTGGAAGGAGATGGATCTTGGGGCATGTGAGTACTACCGCGAGCATGTAGAAGGTGGTGGTGAAGATGACGGGGTGATTTCCTTAGAAGAATCCTGATCCAAAGGGGGAAACGCACGAGAGAATTTAAAATTCTCATGGAATCCAGACTTTCTGGAGTCATGGAGCCTGGAGGGACCCGACACTATTGCGTGGAGATCATGTTTAAATCTTAAGCACAATTCCTCAGCCTTTCACCCAATCAGCTGTTGAGGTTACTTAGTAAAGAAGTGTGCCCTGAATATTGTGCTGTTCTAAGAACCAATTTTACAGGTTCAAAGAAGCCCTGGTGGCACGGTGAGTAAGCACTTTGTTGCTAACAAAAGGTAGACAGTGTGAACCCACCCACTGCTCCACAGGAGAAGGATGGGGTGGTTACTTCTGGCAAGATGACAGTCTTGGAGACCCTGTGGTGCAGTTTCCACTCTGTCCTCTAGGGGCGCTGTGGGTCAGAATCGACTCCAGGGCAGTGGGTGTGGTTTGGGCTTTGTTTCCATGGAGATTGACAGCCTTGGAGACCCTGTGGGCAGTTCCACTCTGTCCTCTAGGGGCGCTGTGGGTAGGAATGGACTCCACAGCAGTGGGTGTGGTTTGGGCTTTGCTTCTGTGAAGATTGACAGCCTTGGAGACCCTGTGGTGCAGTTTCACTCTGTCCTCTAGGGGCGCTGTGGGTCAGAATCAACTCCAGGGCAGTGGGTGTGGTTTGGGCTTTGCTTCTGTGAAGATTGACAGCCTAGGAGACCCTGTGGGCAGTTCCACTCTGTCCTCTAGGGTCGCTGTGGGTCAGAATGGACTCCACGGCAGTGGGTGTGGTTTGGGCTTTGCTTCCATGGAGATTGACAGCCTAGGAGACCCTGTGGTGCAGTTCCACTCTGTCCTCTAGAGTCATTAATAAGTTGGAATCCAGTCGATAACAATGGGTTCTTTGGCTTTATGTGGGATTAGATTGACAGCAGCAACTTAAAAGACTGGGCAGGAACCTTAGGGGCAGTGAGTTCGTGAGACGGGGGAGGAAGCGCGGAGAATGGTCGCACCGGGAGATCATCAGTCGCGGAGCTGCAGGCGCAGCAACTGGAGCGGGTGCTCTGCTGGGTGTACTCTCAGCAACGACAACACATCGGTTCCTGTTTAGGGATGAAGGAGTGGGGGTGGTGACCCCGTCTTGTCCGCCCCCAGGCCTGGTCCGGGAGCAGGAGGCGGGGCTGCTGCAGTTCCTGCGCTTGGACGGCTTCTCGGTGCTGATGCGGGCCATGCAGCAGCAGGTGGAGAAGCTCAAGGTCAAGTCGGCCTTCCTGCTGCAGAACCTGCTGGTCGGCCACCCCGAGCACAAAGGTGGGGGGACGGGGGGAGGGGGTGGGGATGAAGGGTGGGGGGGAGAGGGCAGGAGAAGCGGGCAGGGGGAGGCCGAGGGGAAAGGAAGGCCCAGGATAAAGGAGGGGGCCCGAGGTGGGGGTGGCACGGCCGGCACCCTGACCCGCCGAGCCCCGCCCCCAGGCACCCTGTGCTCCATGGGGATGGTGCAGCAGCTGGTGGCCCTCATCCGGACAGAACACAGCCCCTTCCACGAGCATGTGCTCGGAGCCCTGTGCAGGTAAGCGGGGGCACGGGGACGGGGTGGGGCGCCCACCTCTCCCGGGCTCCAGGGCTGGGTGCCTGAGGTAGGAGCACCATAGGGAGAGATGCCGTGAGCCTACGTTTCCTCGTTTGTAGGGGAGGCCTGGGCCGCTCAGACGGGTAAAGTGTTGGACTACCAAACAAAAGGTTTGGTTTAAATCTTAAACCAAACACAATTCCTCAAGCCTTTCACCCAGTCAGCCGTTTAGGTTATTAGTAAAGTTTGCCTTGAATATTGTGCTGTTTTAAGAACCAACTTCAAACACCTCAAGGTACCTTGGGGAAAAGGCCGGGCAAGCTGCTTCCAAAAGGCCCTAAAAACCCCGTGGCGCAGTGCTGTGTCGGAATCAACCCAGTGCGACCTGACAAGGGGCTGACAGAGCAGTCTGGGAGGAGGGGGGACAAGGGAGTCTTATCCCCCAACACACAAAGTGACCGCCACACCCACTGCCGCGGAGTCCATTCCGACCCACAGCGCCCCTAGAGGACAGAGTGGAACTGCCCCACAGGGTTCCAAGGCTGTCATCTTTACAGAAGGAACTCTGGTGCTGCAGTGCCCAAGGCATTTGACTCCTAATCAGAAGGTTGGCTGTTCAAACCCACGAGCTGCACAGCAGGACTAAGACGAGGCAGTCTACTTCTGTTAAGATTTACAGCTCAGAAACCCTGTTTCAGGGGAGGGGGTTGCTATGAGACGGAGTTGATTTGACGGCAGTCGGTTTGGTTTGGGTTTGGTTCATTTTTATGGACCAAACCCAAACCAAACTCGTAGCTGTCGAGTCAGGTCATAACAGCCCCTCCTTGGGCTTCCGAGCCAGTATCCCTAGAGAAGTAGATGGCCCAATCTTCCTTCCAAGGAGTGGCTGGTGGGTTTGAACTGCCAGCCTTCTGGTTAGCAGTCAAATCCCTTAGGCACTATGCCACCAGAGCTCCCATCTTTATGGAAGCAAAGCTCAAACCACACCTGCTGCCCGTCGCGTCTGTTCCACGTCACCGTGCCTACGGGGCTGTCAAAGCTGTGCTCAGGACGCCGACCGCCACGTTGCTCTCCTGGAGCAGCTGCCGGCTGGTTTGGTGGCAGCCAAGCGCTCAGCCCTGCTGCCCTGGCCTCCTCACAAGTGCCTCCGTGTCCCTGAGCAAAGCCAGTGTGAAGGGGCTGAGCAGGGGAAAAGCTGACAGTGTCCCGTTCTGTGCCAGTCCCACCCGTCACTGGGCTGGAGGGATTAGTGCTCCCTTTTTTGATGAGTCATTGGGTGGGACAGTTACCACGCTGGCTGCTGGCCCGAAGGTCCGAGGGTCAAGCCATACAGAGGTGCCTTGGAGGAAAGGCCTGGCCGTCAGCGTCCCCAGAATCAGCTGCTGAGAACCCTGCAGTACAGCTCTGCTCTGACACTTGGGGTGCCGTGAGTTGGGCTCAACTCCACATCAACTGGCTTGGTGTTTCGGGGAAGTTCTGGGTTCGAGTCCCTGGGTGGTTCCAATGGTTAAGTGCTGAGCTGCCAGCAGAAAGGCTGGGAGTTCACATCCACCTCGAGGCCCCTCGGAAGAGAGGCCCGGTCCATTCCCCAAAAACCAGCCACAGAAAACCCCTCAGAGGACAGTTCTCTCTGACACCCCCGGGAGGGACCCTAGCGTCAGAGGCGGCCGTCGGAACCGGTTTGGGCTTGGTTTGCAGGAAGGGAAACTGAGGCCGCACGTGGGGCTTTGGCTTGCCCAGGCTCCCGCGGTCGTGGGGCGGGGTGGACGGCGAGAGTCCAGGAGCCCATGTGTAGGGAGTAGGACCAAGGGCCTCTGTCCCCGCAGCCTGGTGACGGACTTCCCCCAGGGCGTGCGGGAGTGCCGCGAGCCACAGCTGGGCCTGGAGGAGCTGCTGCGACACCGCTGCCAGCTGCTGCAGCGCCACGAGGAGTACCAGGTGCGGGGCGGAGC